ATCAAAGCCTTATTTATTAAATTTAAAAGGCATCCCTAGTAAGTAAATCCTTCCAAGGCCCTCATCAGTTTCCCTCATCAAAGCCTTATTTCATAAAATCTAAGATATCCCTACAAGATCCATCTCGGGCAATGCTGATGTGGCAATAATGAGGCATCCCTTTCTAGGGCATCCTATTTTCAGCCTTATCGGGGTCTTACGCTTGATGAGGATGGTCCTAATAACTTTTTACTCGGGGTGCGAAAGCTTCGCGCGGATGAAAGCCGCGGCGGTGGAGGAGAGGAAAGAGAGCTCTTTCGCGCGCGAAGACGGCGCGTGTCGAAAATATTGGAATTTACTTGCCGGATAGATAAGCGTAAATTCCGGCCGGTTTATGGGCCCACCCGGTGCAGCTTCGCCGACGCTGACGCTAGAGCGGACGCGTGCGCGTGTGCATGTTACGCGCCCCGCGTTGACGAGGGATTCGGCGCCGAGCGTTCGTTTTCTATCCCTTCCGCATCGACAGGATGTCACGGCTGCTCCTCGGTCGAAAGCCGAAAAATTATGAGTCGTTGAATAATAAAGTTGTCAATCTCCGACGCGACGGCAACCCTCGGCCGCCCGCGATGCACCCTCTCGTTTGACCGAACGGCCTCGTTTTTTTATTACGTTAAGGTCGGCGGACTTGTGCGCGCGCGCGCGCGCGCGTGTGTGTGCACGGAGCATGTATTATACAGAATGTTTCGAAAGTATCGTAAAAGCATACTTCAGCGGCGTACGGGAGCTTAATTACGATCGCGAGTTTCAAGGTGGAAATGTCGAGAAGACACCGGCTTCTTTTACTCGACGGATTTCAACCGAGTCTTCTCTTTTGATAAAGATGTACTCGGGAAAGCTACTGAAGCCGCTGTGATATTTGTTATATTATATATTTTGGTAATTAAGTCGCAAATTGAAACACCAGGTAAGTAAATTTACTCGAAGTTGAATGAATAATAAGGCATTCTTTCTTGGCTGTGTTTCCAAAGTTTCCTCGGCAAAGAATATTTTATTTTTGTCGTATAGCTTTCGGGAGAGAGAGAGAGAGAGAGAGAGAGAGAGAGAGAGAGAGAGAAAGAGATATTGACGTTTCAATATACCAGCGGAAGAAAAATCTACTTTAAGTTGGTTAAAGAATTAATTAAGGTTGATGGCTCCGGGACATCCTGTATAATTCATACCCCGACCGACCGAATATCCCAGGGGACGGCTCGGAAACTGTAAATTTCTCCTTACTTTATAATTTAATTTATGGCGTAATTTAATTGAAACTCATTGACGTCACACGGTGAAGTCGAATCTGACGGTCAGCAGAGCCTCGACCCGGCTGACGTTTATTCGCGAAGCGACGTCTTCCGATTCGGCACTTGGGTGTGTTCGGGAATCGCGCGACCAGCTCCGGGGAGAAATATTCTCGCCGTGAAAATGACGCGCGACGTGCGCAGCTCGTTTCCAGCGTTCGCGGCATCACGCTCGTACAGAGTAGCCTCGGATATCGTAGACGACGACGACGACGACGACGACGGGACGGATCGGCCGCGGTATCGATTCTGGCCTGTCGTTTTCCCGAAGCCCGAAGCACCAAAGGGAAATTCAATTCTCGCGCGAGCGACGCACGGAAAAGTCGTTTCTCAAACCGCCCCTCGCGTTGCGCGAGATGACCTGCCAAAGCGCGACTGTCGCCGGCGATATTTTTTTTCTCTCTCAATGTCAGGAAATCTAGAAAATAACACAACGAGAGAGAGAGAGAGAGAGAGAGAGAGAGAGAGAGAGAGAGAGAGAGAGAGAGAGAGAGCGAGCGGACGCTTTCCGTCCCTCTCACACGCGCGCGACAGTGCGTTATTTGTTTCGCTGCAACGAACGAAATTGAGAAGGAGGCGCGCGAATCTGTCGTGAAACGCTCGCGTGCGCTCTCGCATCTCTCCTCGTACCTCGTACAAGTGGATGTTTCAAGTGGTGGCTTTTCAAGTGGCGTCTCTGCGGTCTCCGAGGAAAAATTAATGGGGAAATATAGCACCCTCCCTCCCCCCGCACAGAGTTATCGCCCGGGTGATCGCCGCGGCTTTTGGAAGCTCTCTTAAATATGACAGATGGCCGTGTGTTGAGCAACTCGGCACGATTCGCGCGGAATCCATCATAATTACAGAGGTGCATTTCCGGCGAAACACCGCGCGGAAAAATAACACGGAAGCCTTCTCCACCCCACCCCTTCTCCCTCTCTCGCGAGAGAGGAAGCGGGAGAGCGGTATTAACAGCGAATGAGGGCGTATCGTCGAGCGCGTATCGAAAATTAACGATTTGGCCGGCCGACGCGGTCACGTGCCGACGTCGAGCTGCTCGGTGTACATTGCGAGGAGAGTGCTCGCGCAATCAGAGCCTCGATACACCGTCGAAACAGTTCTTTAATATTCCCCCCTCCCCCCCCTCCCACCGGCAATTTTATCGAGCCGACCGACAGAACGGCACGTTCTGACCCGACGGCGCGTTCTCGAAAGAGCTCGAGCGGAAGCTCGATCCGAGGAATCGCTCCCGCAGAGACGATAGGGGGGGGGGGGGGGAGTGAAACAAGCGACCGCCGCGAGGAGAGACTCTCTCTATCTCTCTCTCGCTCGCTCGCGGGCGGCGGGAAATCGAGCGAGATGACTCGAGTCGGAGTGTACGCTCGTCGGTTCGGCGCAATCTTACAAAAATAACGCGGAACATCCCCAATTTCGGCTGGCCGAGATATCCCGTTATTTCCGACACGTCAAAGACCCGACGGAGATCGGCGCCCTCGTTGGTGTGCGTCGTGATGAATATTTACGAGGACGCGGGTGTCATTTTGCGCGGTTCATCCGACGCCCTCGTGTGTAAGTCGAGCCAGCGACGAGGCGACGGGCGCGGCGGCGCTCGATCGCGGCTTTCGTTATCCTTGAATAACTGACGAGGTCGGACGAGTCGTGGCCGGTGCTCGGCCGGTCGTAGCCGGATTATGAGGAGCGATCGACGCTCTCCTCGTTTCCTCACGACGAGCGAGGCTGCTCGCGAGGCGGCGCCTCCTCGAGATCACGCCGATCGTCGCGGAAGCGCATCGCGCGCGCCTTCAAGTCGGCGGACTTGAGGAGCGCCTTGGTAATATTTCACGGGACCTGCCGTCGCCGCAGGACCGGCTGCGGCCGTTCGAGAGGCTTATTCTGGCCCCGGAGCTCCTGAAATATGCATCGCCTGCGGCGTTTACATGGCGAGATACGCGCTGCAGCATGTAACATGCAGGCGCGCCCTCGCGCAGGGTTAACGGTACGGCGTCGTTTTGCCCGGGACGTATCCAAAATTCAAATCACGCTGCACTCTTCGCCGAACGAGAGAGAGAGCCTTCTCGCAAATGTAGACGTGACGGCGCACGAGTCTGGGAGACGCACCCTCCCCCCCAACCCGCGAAGGGGTGGCCCATAGACATCGCGATTTTACGAGGCGACGTGGCGACCGCACCCGCTGGCGTCTGCTCCGCGTCGGAGCCATCGACACGCGAGGAAGGCGACGTAAAGCCGCGAAGCGTGAGGAACAAGAGCGCTTCTTCACTCCTCTCCGACTCTCGGACTGAGACGAGTCTCGCGGATGGTCTCGGGAGGGCGCACTCAGCCTCCCCGAGACGAGGTCGTCCGGCTCCCCCGGGCTCCCCCAGCGTGAGCAGCACGCGATCGTGTACGAAGAGGTCGGCGGATGATCCCAGGTCCGAGTCTGAAGCGATGATTGCGCGACGAGAGGGATTCTAGATCGATGAGCCTCTCCCCTTGGTGCTGGTGGACGCCCATGAGGAAGCGAGATCTCCCGGAGGAGAGGAAGAAAAGACACAGCCCCTCGTCACTCGAAGGGCGATAACGATGACGCGACGATGGAGAGCTACCTGCTCCGTCGATGGCCGGGCAGATTGGCGTGTGCTCGATTAATCGCACACGCGAGTGAAGGTGCACGCGTGTCACACCCTGTCGTCGTAGAGAAATACAGCCGGGGACTGACGAGGAGAGCCTTCTCTCTCTCGAGAAACGTCGAGAGCCCGTCGGGGTTTAACGGCCGCACCGATGGCCGGACGGAGAAGTGTGCGGTGTGGTCCGTGAGAGGAGAACAAGTAATGGAGTCTTTCGCTGTATATATATATATATATATATATATTTATATATATTTATATATATATATATATATGTGTGTGTGTGTATAGACACAGATAGAGCTCCGTTTTCAACACATCGAAGCGGCGGTCGGCCGAAAGAAACGGGAGAACGTTGCGCGACGTCGTTCGGTCGTCCGTGATCGATCTTTTTGCCTACTACTTCCTTCTCGTCGTCAAAACGAAACAAACGTAGGACAGTCAGCAGTGGCGCCGAGAGTATAAAGTATATATATATATACCAACGGAAAGTACTTACAGAAAAGTAAAGACATAACACACGCGTGTGGATATGTAATATATACATCGCATCGCGCTCGCGATTCGTGAGAGAGCTAAGCGTAAGAGAGGCCTCTATGAGGTGGAAATTTACGGTGAATGTGCAAACTAAGATCCTGGCTCAGCTAATCGCGCACAAGCTCCGGCTTTATCCGGCTACACGGAGGCCCTCTTCGGGAGGCCGTCCGAGGCTGAATCGACTTGTGAACTTTGCTCGACGAAACAACGAGAAAAAAGAAAGAAAGGGAGAAGCAAACTCGCGGTTTTTCTTTACGGGAGCCTTACGGGAGCGCGATTTCATTGCGACTTGAGACTTGAGTCCGCGCGTCTCCCGCGAGCCTCTAGACTCGACCTACGAGTCGACAGCTCAAAGTTGACTCTCTACGTAGAAGGGGGGGAAAAAAAAAGTAGAAAGAAAGAGCGACTGCACGCGACATCGCGTATATATTACATATCGTGTGTAGATATAGTATAACAATTGACAACGAATCAACCGAAAAGAAAGGAAGAGGTGTGTTCTGGCTGGTGTGCAGGCAGGCATGCTACGAGTTTACGTTACCTAGGGTGAGCTTCTCGCCGGAATCGGGCGGCAGGGTGAAGCCCAATAGGGCCATGCTCGATATCAGCACGCAGGGCACGATCAGGTTGAAAAAGTAGTAGAGGGTCCTCCTGCGTATCTGTATCGTGAAGGTGACGTCGACGTACGGCTCCGGGCAGCACTGATACGTTATCGTGTTCTTCTTCCCCGGCATACCTGCAAAAAAGTGCCCAGCACCGATGTACACGCCGACATGGAAATCCGAAGGAGTCATTCGTATCGGTATCATATCGCGCGCACGTCCCGCGAGCGTGCCGATCCGAGGAAGCTTTCGGAGGAAGCCTCGGACCGCGCGCGACCGTCGTCCCCCTCCTCTTCGTCCTCCGACCTCCGACCTCTTTCTTTCTTATTTCCAATTACCTCGCCGCTATTCGCACGACTCGTGCACGGAAAAACGTTTCCGCCCCTGGGAAACGCGATGAAACACCGAGGCTTGTCTATCCGCGTCCGCTCGTCGCTTTATAGTTACCCTCCCCCCCCCCCCGCCCTCCCCCCTGCCGAGCCGTGTTTTTCTCTTCTCCCCATTCCCGTTCTCTTTAATGTTCCCTTGCTTCCCGTCCCACGCGTCGCGTAGGGTCGGGGCGACCGACGGAGATACTACAACGGGAAACGCAAACTCTCTGCACTTGGCATCTCCGTCTGCCCGTTTCATCGCACGGAGAGGGAAACTTTGTTCAATTAACGCGACGAATCCGACGGGTTTGGAGAATCTGGCTCGCATGAGAGTCCGAAGTAGCGGTTTCTGTTTCTCCGCTCGTCGAACGAAATTTTTGCCTCTCGCGAAGCCAAGCCCGGAAGGGAATTCCGCTTCCCTTCCGGGCTTCCGAAAGAGCGTCGCTCGTTTTGTCGCGTTTAATTTGACCAGATCCGTTTCTCTCACTCACGTGCACGTGCTCGTGTCGTCGAGTCGCGAGGCTGGCGTCGGCGAGGCGAGGCGAGCCACGTCAAGTTTACCGCGACGACTTTCAGCGTGCTGCTGCCGTTCGCGTCTCGCTTTAAACTTCACCGAGATTAGCGCTCATCGCGCGAGCCGCGAGAAGATGTCGCGGAGTTGTCGAGTGCTTCTTACTTGCTCGAGACTTCGCTCTCGTCGCCGTCGCGACGACTCGATGGCAGACGAACGAACTGACTAGCTGACTAACGAACGGCGGCAACGTACAGGGTGTAACAGCAACACACACAGGTCAGTATGACGGGTTGCTTGCCCCTATTCGGATGATAATGCAGAGATTGTTGAAAAAGTCACTCGTTGACTTTGTTGACAATGATATTTGCAGTGTTCCCAGTTATGACAAATGCGAGTAACTTTGCGCTATGATCGTTGTAACAGTTTATCGAACGTTTACCGACAGGAGTCGAGCCTCCTGATTGAATTAGTAAAGGTGTTTAATGAATGGAACTGAGAAAGAAATATTACGGAATAAAGCAGAATGAACAAGAGTAATACTTGAGGATATAAATAATACAACATATTTCCTGGTTTCGCATAATTTCTTAATTGTTCTCTCACGTTGAAAAGCTCGATAGAGATTGTAGATTGTAGAAAAGACGAAGATACAAAAATATTTAAAGGTCTTACATACTGTATTTCATCTATGTTTCTACGAAAGATCGCTTCTGCAAAAGTATGACTAGAAACGCGGTATAAATATTGGTTGCAACTTAATCGACATGTAGTCGCAACTATCAAGCGACATATTTTCGGTACATTATAGTCTTGTATCTCGGCATCGAAAATAGGGCCTGTTTTTCGAAGGATTTTGCAGCTTGATAGGTCGATTAAATTGCGACCAATATGTATATTGCGTTTGTAGTCTATTCATACTTTTGCAGAAGCGATTTTTTCCAGAAACACGGATGAAATACAGTATATAAGACTTTTAAATATCTCTGTATCGTTCTTCCTAATCTCCAATTTCCATCGAACTTTCCAACGTGAGAGAACAATTAAGAAATTATGCGAAACCAGGAAATATGTTGTATTATTTATCTCTTTAAATATTACTCTTACTTATTCTGCTTTATTCCGTAATATTTATTTCTCAGTTTCATTTTTTAAACATCTTTTCTAATTCAACGAGCCTCGACTCCTGTCGGTAAACGGTCGATAAACTGTTACAACGATCATAGCGCAAAGTTACTTGCATTCGTCATAACTGGAAATATGGCAAATATCATTATCAACAAAGTCAACGAGTGGCTTTTTCCGGAAACCTCTGCATTATCATCCGAATAGGGGCAAGCAACCCGTCATACTGACCTGTATGTTGCTGTTACATCTTGTACGCGTCTCGCCATGTAAGACAGAACTCGCTACCTTCCTCGAGGAGTTTAAGACTCCCGTGCCACGTCGCCATCTTGATTGATAACGTCAAGAATGGGAGAGAAAACGCACATGTGTGCTGCAAATTCTTGCAGAGTATCGCCGGAACAGAAGAATACGTCCGTGAAACGACAGTCGCGATCGATCGAGTAGATTTCGTCGGGAAGATTTCGAAAAGTCTCCCTTCGTGCATTCGCTGCAACATCCGACAAGCAGCCGAGGAGGGATTACCGTGACAGAATCATGAGGAAAGACAGGAAGTTTGGGAAGGAGGGTCGCACGTCTCGTGAAAATTTCACGGCTACTTGTTGATTGTTAGAGCAAGAGGAGAGAGTCTTTCGAGACGAACGTGCTCGATCGGCGTCGCGACATTTCACGGATATATTCTATCGCTCCTCAACGAGTTTTCCATTTCCCCGCTCCTAACGTCATCGATGAAGAGTTCGGCGGCAACGCACCTGCTGCTTCCACCGCTGCGTGCCGCGCCTCCTCGGCGATTACGAAGATACCCGCCTCGCCGAGGTGGCGATTCTTGACCGCTCGATACTTTGGAGAACGCGCGCGAGCCGGGCTTTCTTAATAGCTTCTCGGCCGGCTCCTCGAGTCGATCCCGAGCGGCGAACAGGACGCGATATCGGACATTCACTTGTTGCTGGCCTCCATTCTTAAGGCTCTTTTCCCTCGCGCTTCGACCGCGCGGCCATGCGTCCGCCCCGAGATAATTAGCGTATCTAACGGCGGAAAACAGCGGCGGGCGGTGTCGGGGGGCCCGACACTTTTAATTACGCGCGTCACGTCAGCCGTGTCGGCAGGTGTTCGCCGTCTACGCGCGCGGGCCGTCGCTTCGCCGGTCACGAGAGGGCTCGAAGACACCGAGATAGCGCTCGCGGTGTTTTATCGCGGTGTTTCACCCCTTCGCCGCCGCTTCGTTTCTCCACCGTCTTCGGAAGCAGCCGGAGAGCTCGATTAGTCTCGCTCGGAATCTGCTGCTGCTCATCTCTCGTCCAGCTATCCGTCGTCCTGTCGACGCCTCCGCGTCGCACCGCGTCGAAAGGACCGTCCCCGCTCGACTGTCGGCGAATTTGCCGCGACGAGAGCGCGTCTCGACGGCAGATCATTCTGCGACGAGATTGTTCCCTTGCATTCTTACGCGAGCTTCCTACGCGCCTCTCTTCGAGATTATTTCCCCTCCCCCCTCCCCGCTCTCTCTCTCTCTCTCTCTCTCTCTCTCTTTCTCGGGTGTGAAGGATATTTCTTGCTGGCTCGCGCTCGGATATTTTCGACATTTTTTCCCGAGACGCCAGGATACGCGAGAGATCATCGCACGAATTCCATCTCTCCCTCGGCGGTCTCGCCGCGAGTCTCCGAATCCACTTCGAGGAAACCGCCGTGCAGGAGGCGCACTTTCCGATACGCCGCCATGTTGGAATGTAGTCGTAAAAGGACATGGCCAATAAATGAGACGCAGGGAGCGGAAGAAGAGGAAGAAGATGAAGGAGGAGGAGGAGAAGAGGACGACGCGGCGGCGGCAGCGGGCGAAGGAGAAACACGGCGGGAGGGAGCGCGGCGGTAGGAAGGGACCGTCATAAAGCCGTAGCCGTTGCGGCGCCGCGAGACACCGAGGTGTCGTAAAATCTTTCGATTTCTATTCAGCGGCGACGATCGATCGCGCGCGACTACGCGCGAAGGAAGCGTAGAGCTGCCGCAGGATGCAGCATCCTGCGAGCTCTCGCGAGCTCGCGAGCTCGGCGAAAAGCTCGGGGCCGCGGTTTCTTAACGACTTCCATCGGCGTTCCTCCGCACGCCCCGACGATGACGCCGTCCTCAGCGGACACGCGCGAGCAACCTGCATCCCCGGAATCCGCCGGGTAGCCGGAGCGCATCGGGGGGTGACGATGGCGCGCCGACAGCTTTTTCCCCCGGCTCACGGGGAAATATTCCCCTCTTTGTCGTGTCCGCTCTTTTTTTGTTCTGTTTCTTTGTGCCTGTCGTTTTTGGTGAGAGATCTCTCGTCATTTGCCGGGAGGCGACCCGGCGACGAGAGGAACGCGGGATGCGTCAGGTGAGATTGAAACGTTTCCGAATCGATGCGCGCGGCGCGCGCGTTTGACAGCGTCCAGTCGTAGCGAAAGAGGCGAGGCTCGCAAACAGTTGACGCGAACAAAAGGACTCGTGCAATTCGATCGTGGACCCGTGCGTGTGCGTGTGTGATCGTCGACCAATCGCGTGCCTCGCATCGCGGCGCATTGCCGCGATACCGGCGGCGCGCCGCAGGATGTTAATCGACGGCCCGACTGCCGAAGTCGGGCGGAAGGCAAATGCAGATTCGCGGCTCTTCGTCTCTCCGAGTTCATTAGCGACCGAGCTGGTATTAATTATCATGTGACTTTGTTAGGGAGTCGCAAGACTCTGACAAAGTTACACGATAATTAATACCAACGCAATTAACTCGGACGTTAGAGGCGCAAGAGAGACGTTGAGGACACGCCGAAAAACCCCGAGACTCACGCCGCGTCGTACCTCGCGGTGGGTTACGCTTTCCGAAAGGCGTAATCCCACGTTCGATCCCCTCCGCGAGCTCCTCGTTATCGGCCACATGAGACCGCCTAATTAGCGGATGCACGCGCGACTCCGCGCGCGGCGCTAAATGCGAGCAGCCGGCCGGCCGACCGGCCGCGAGAAGGCTGCACTTTGTTGCCGAAGTTAAAGCCCCGCGTAATCACTGGCCGTGCAAAATGAAATCGTCAAATTCCGGTAATGGCTTTGCTCCCGCGCGATATATTATTGCATTCTATACGTAACTCCATTCCCGCTCGCTATAACCGCCGACACAACGCACACGCTCTGCAAACAGATTCGCAAATTGCTGTGGATTAACGTAGCTACATTACCATTGTGCCTGCGTGCCCAGAACAGACGAGGATTAAGTCGCGACGCGAAGCGTTGCAAAAGAGGAGCCGAGAGAGAGAGAGAGAGAGAGAGAGAGAGAGAGAGAGAGAGAGAGAAATTTAAATTACACCGAACCGATTTCTCCCTTTTCTGCGGCGGATCCGTCGACGGTCTTTCCGGCCGAAATAGACCGGTTCGCTCCTCCCGATCGTCGTTCTGCCGACGCGCGCGGAATTTCGTTTCGAGCTTTGATTCGTTTCCACGTCCGTCAGTTGTCGGCGGCAGACAAGGTGTCACGTGTGAGCGCAGGAAAAAAGTCGCTGACATTTCATACGTCGCTGGTACACAATATCGATATCAAACCGAGGAGTTATCGAGTGATAATCGATGAGGGACCGACCGCAAAGACCGGCATTCGCGCGAACGTGCACGTCCGGGTAAACATGTTTACAGCGCCGAGAATGTAGGGCTAAGCCGGGCGTTTCCAGCTGGAAACCAAAGACGACAGATAAATATATAAGAGAGAGAGAGAGAGAGAGAGAGAGAGAGAGAGAGAGAGAGAGAGAGAGAGAGGAGACGCGCGTCCCCCCCCCCCCCGTTCTATTTCGCGTGGCATCCGTTCGAATATCCGTCGCGTTCGTTCGAATTCGCTCGGCGAATCCCGCGCGTGAATTATACATGGAGTCGCTGTCTGCGACTTTATCTTCGAAATACCTTTAATCTCCGCGTGTGCCCCCTATATGTGACCTGCGAAGCGCCTCGACGCCGACGCCTCGTTTATCAACACGCGAGCGCAATCTCATGGATTTAATAACGATGTGACTCGCTCTCGCCGGTGACGGCACCTTCCGCACAGCCGTGGAATATTATGCGCCCTCGATAGCCGCGCGATTACGCGACAAATATCCCCGTCGATTCACCCCCTCCCCTCCCTTCGTCGATCCCTTGACTCGACTCAGCGTTCTACCTCCGGATTAACGCTGTCGAATTGGGGCGTACGAATCTATTCATCGACGCGCGCGAGTCGACTCGAGACTCTATTCTTAGCAAGTCTGGAGAGACGTTCGCGTTTCGTCGCACACGTACACGCATACCAAGTTGCCTGACACATACACACGCGCGCGCGCATACACGCACACACCCACACACACCCACACACTCACACTCTCTCACACACACACGCACACACGCGCGCACACACACACACACACACGATCGTACGCGCGCGCATGTGCCGCCAATACAGAGGCAGATACTGATTGGCTCGACAAGTTGTAAATTTGAGGCTCTGTGAAACTCACCGATGAGGTACCATTCCCCGTTCATGATGAAATCGGATAAGTCACCACCCTCCTCTGAGTTGAGTACCAGATCGAGCTACCAAGGTCAAAGTTTGATTAAGACGGGCACGAGTCTACACGACGGGGGCATTCCGTTAGGTAACTCGAAGCTGAACGTGCGCATGCAGCTACGGATTCCGCTCGCGCTCTACGCCTACGTCTGCTACACGTAATTTATGAAAGAAAAAAAGAGGGACAGAGAGGAGGAGAGCGAGAGAGCGAGAGAGCGAGAGAGAGAGAGAGAGAGAGAGAGAGAGAGAGAAGATGCGTCCGCAAACCCGAGTATTAAGCCTGAGCGTGATAGATAAAGCGTGCATCGGAGAGGAAAATGCGCTCGGCTGTTGCAAGAGAGAGACTACTCATTTCTCCCTCTCTCTCTCTCTCTCTCTCTCTCTCTCTCTCTCTCTCTCTCTCTCTCTCTCTCTCTCCTCTCCCCTCGGGTGTTCAACGCGCCTGGAAAAGCGCATTCGTGCGGCCGACAGGCGAAAAACTGGCTGCTTGACCGGCCCGCTGAAAATCGCTCGCCGGTCGACAAGTCCTCCTCGAGAGCTCGCATGCTCCCCGTCGCGGCTGCACGCGAGATCGCGCTGCCGCTCCAGGAGCTGGGGCTCCCCCTGGAGCAGGTTTTACACGCGCCACCCGCGAGACCTGCGAGAATCGAGAGCGAGGGCGACCTCGGGGCCTCCGAAACACAGTTCGATTCCGAGATTCTTCATCATCTGGCATTTCCCAAAAGCGAATTTCCTTTTCTTGCCGAACTCCTTCCGTGAGTTTTCCATCCCGGGTGAGTTTCAGGTTCGTCGGATGTGACACGTCGCGTCGGCCGGTGAGCGAGCGCGTGACACGAAAGTCTCGCAATCAATACCGTCTATCGTCGGTCTCCTCGTTGCCGTCGGTATGACCTTCGCCGCAGACGGAAGAGAATTTCAGTTTTCGGGCGAAGGGGACGGGGAGATGAGACTCGCGGAGAAAAGTCGCTGACGGGAAATGATATTCTTCGTTTGCCGCGACCGAGGACCGATTCGTCCGCGTTAAACTCTGCCGAGAGACAATCGACGACGACGGCGACGTCGACCGAATCGGCGAATCTCCCGCGGACTTCCCTCTGCTTCTGCGAACGAAAACTCGCTCGTCTCTCGTCCTCAGACAACGGGAAGAATCAGTAGCACGAGTCGAGATTCTCTTGCCGTATACGGCGATAAAACGTCAGTCGGAATGGCGCTCGCGAGAAGGCGGATTTCGCGCTCGGCTTACCCCGCCGTGAACAGAGACGCTTTAATTTCGGATTAACGGGGGGGTCGGCCGAAAAATTTCACGCTCCGTTGCTTTCCCACGGATATCGCGCCGTGTAATCATATTAAAGTAATTAAAAGAAATGTGTCGGCCAGAGGGATGATCCTGCTCGTCGTTCCCCGCCTTCCTTCTTCCCGCCGCCGTCTCTCCATCTCGGAGGATCGGAGCAGGAAATAAAGTGACGATACGTCGTAAGGGAGATACTTCGTAAGGGATTTTCCGATCTCTCTTAGATCCCGTATCGCGCGCTCTCACTCGCCGGGGTATCTGTTGCTCTTTGATCTAGAGCCAAATAGGATATATTCCGCTTGGTTCCTACAGCTGAGCCCGGCTCCTCGGAAGAGAGACCTCCTCCCGACGACGATTCGCGGCCACTCCGTGGACGACGTTTCGACGACGTCTGATCAGTTGCGCGAGAGTTGCGCGCCGCTTATCGAGAGATCGATAGCACAGCCGTAGAACGCGGCGGAGGATTCTTCGCGATCATTCGCGGGCTTGCCCGCCAAATGTGTCTTCCTCTTCCTCCGCCTCTTCTCCCTTCCCGCTGCCCTTTCCTCTCTTTCTTTCCGTCTTCGTTCCCCCGCGACAGCGACGAATGCAATTCCCTCAAGGCGGGATGTTATTGTTCGTAAGTACGTTACTACGTCCGATGTTCCTGGGCGCACTACGACGGCGAAACGAACTCGATAAAAATTCAATAGTCCCGCTGTACACTTCGCGCGTCTTCGGCGAACGGCGAGAGCCGCTTCTTCTTCGGCGTTCCCTCTCTCCCCCTCCCCCTCCGTCTTCTACGGAGGACGCACACGCGGAAATCCGTGTCGCGCTCGCAGCGAGAAAATTGAAAGGGCCGTCATTTCGGACGTTGCCGATCGCAATTTGCAGAGGGGAATCCAACCGATTATGTCGCGTTTATTTTCTCCTTCTCGCGGAGATATACCGCGCTCGGCTGGCTGTTGCTTCGGCTGCTCCATCGATTCGTACGTCCTTCTTTCTCGCTCCCCCCCCCTCTCTCTCTCTCTCTCTCTCTCTCTCTCTCACTGGCCCACCCGCTCTCGATCATCCTTCCTAATGTAATTCCAACGAACGACAGAGAGAGAGAGAGAGAGAGAGAGAGAGAGAAAGAGAGAGAGAGGGAGAGAGAGAGAGAGAGAGAGAGAGAGAGAGAGAGAGAGAGAGAGAGAGAGAGAGAGAGAGAGAGAGAGAGAGAGGAAAGTGCGAGCGGCCACAACGGTCGAGCAGTAGCAGCAGGTGTTTGTATCGTGAAATTCGCGGCGAAAATTACGGCGGATACACAGCGAGCTCGTAAAGTTAGCCCCTCATAATTCATCGCGACGCGTATATTTCGCCCTATGGCTTACTTCGGTCTTTATTCACAGGGCTACACACGTGCTTTGGCCCCCTCCCCTGCCCCTCGGCTGACTTGATGCATCCGGAATGGACGTCTCGATGCACCGGCCGCGGCCCGGCGCGGCGCGGCGCCGTCGCCTCTTAACTAATTAAATTCAATCTTCATATATATCGCCCCCTTATCCGGGCGCGCGTTTAATCAGGCGCCGATGTTAAGAAGCGACGCGCTCCGCGGGATCACAGAGCCTCGGCGAGAATTGCGGAGCGCGCGCGCCGCTGTCATTCCGGCGCTCGGGGCGAGCCGGTTTTTCGCTGTCGGCCGCAGATTGCCGACCTGTAAAATCGTGGGGGCCCGGGTGACCGACATAATTCCGGCGAGTTTAATTTTCCACGCTGTAAATACACGGGAAGAGAGGCGGCAGGGGGAGGGGCGTGCCGCCCCCTTTACCGTAAATTACTGTGCGCCCGTTGCATCGGGTTAACCGTCGAGGTATTATGTTCGCGTATCTCTCTATAATATCGAAACACGAGCTCGGCCGAAATTATATCTCGGTCTCGATGTTGCAAATTGACTGGCGCATGCATGCAAGCAATTAATCCGCAATCGTTTGTGGATTATGCAGCTCGACGCTATTTCGTGCCTCTCGGTTGCAAAGTAAGCGATAATCAAGCGACGAGTATTTCGCGCGGGTGTGTCTCTTCCCGTCGCCGACCTGCGTCGGAGATCGGCGAGTTTCCGTGAGTCTCTCGCGCGCGCGCAAGAGAGAGAGAGAGAGAGAGAGAGAGCCGCGACGGACGTCGTGCGGAGAGACCGGCGCTTCCACGTTAGAAGCGCGCCCGTGAGCGCGGAGAAGAAAAGTTCGGCTGAATCAACGCGGCGACGAGCGAACGGAACCCCGGCTCTTACGAATCGGATTCGATTCAGCGATGCGGAAGTCCCGTTTCCTCCGCGGCTGAGACGTCTTCGCACCGCGTCGCGCGCGCGTTGATTCGGGCGCACTTTTTCCCCGTGCGAATTTCTCGGGGCCGGGCGTTTGTAAGGCCGCTTCGGAAATCGGTTTCAGGGCGCTGCGTTAATTTATATAATATATATATATATCTCGTTACGATCAATAGAATCGCCTCGAGAACATCACCGAGCGCGCATACACAGCACAGCAGAGAGCCGCGCGCGGCACGAACGACTCCGTGTCGTCGGTCCGTGTGCGCGCGCATTCGCGATCCTTCGTAATCGGGAATCGGAAATCGAAAATGCGCACGGGGAAACGGGGAAAACCCGGGGTTTGCCCGAGGTCCGACGCGACGGCGGACGACGGACGGCCCGCGAGCGCCCGCCGACGACGAAAGGGCGCAGAGAATCTCCGGCTCTCGGCGCTGCATTTTTCCCCGAATTTCACCACCCCGTAAGAGCCAGAGAGATTCCGCTTCCTTCGACGAGAACGGCTCCGGCTCCGGCTCCGGCTCGTCCGTCGCGTTCACTCAGTCCGACTTTTTTCCCCCGCCGTGTAACCGGCGATTTCGGCGAGCGCGATCGTCGCGCGAGCGTCCAAGTCCGAGCTCGCCGAAAGTCGACCCGATCGCGTCGACTGATTCGACGACGTTGCACGCGGACAACGCGGACGCGCGGCGATGGGCAGGAAACTGCGATGCGAGAGCGTCATGTGGAAAGGGGGTTATATGGTCGTTCACAAGGCGTCGTGAAGAAAGCATGCAGCTACGCCGCGCACGCTAGACACGAAACGGCCATCAAGTTCTGTACATATATATACACACACACACATAACATGCGACACACACGCTGTACAGATATCTCAATCAATACGGTTGATGTTGATTCGTTGAGTGACGGAGGGCGAAATGGATCGAACAAAGTTCGGGTGTACGACATAGACGACGACATATAGTCTTTAATTTGCACAAATCTATATATATATATATATATATATATATATATATATATATATATGGATATAGATAGATATATATTTGATATGAGGGTGGGGGGAGAACAGTCGAGATATATAGTATATGAGTCGGGTTAAGGAGGAGAGACAACGTTTAGATGCGGCGGCGGGCTAATTGGTGGAAATGCGCTCGGATTGCATTTCAACGGGCCAGTGCAGCATGCAGCCTGCAGCGACGTCGACGTCGACGTCGTCAACGTTGTCGACGACGACGACGGTGCGGCGGCGGCGGCGGCGGCGGCGGCGGCGGCGGTGGTGCAGCGGCGCGTAATCGAAAATCGAAAACGAGCCACGCGTTTCGGCACCTACGCTATCGAAATCACGATGGATCGTGCGCCGCTCGTAAATTCCACGGCGATGTACGTGCGTGCGATGCGCGAGTGCTACATGCTACCGGGTGTCCCCGTGCTCGGTCATCCATTTGTTCCCCTTC